CTTCTTACATGTTGAACTCAAATACCTGTACTTTCTACTTCTTACATGTTGAACTCAAATACCTGTACTTTCTACTTCTTACATGTTGAACTCAATACCTGTACTTTCTACTTCTTACATGTTGAACTCAAATACCTGTACTTTCTACTTCTTACATGTTGAACTCAAATACCTGTACTTTCTACTTCTTACATGTTGAACTCAAATACCTGTACTTTCTACTTCTTACATGTTGAACTCAAATACCTGTACTTTCTACTTCTCACATGTTGAACTCAAATACCTGTACTTTCTACTTCTCACATGTTGAACTCAAATACCTGTACTTTCTACTTCTTACATGTTGAACTCAAATACCTGTACTTTCTACTTCTCACATGTTGAACACAAATACCTGAACTTTCTACTTCTACATGTTGAACTCAAATACCTGTACTTTCTACTTCTACATGTTGAACCCAAATACCTGTACTTTCTACTTCTTACATGTTGAACTCAAATACCTTGTACTTTCTACTTCTTACATGTTGAACTCAAATACCTTGTACTTTCTACTTCTTACATGTTGAACCCAAATACCTGTACTTTCTACTTCTCTCATTTTCCAAACAGCTGGTTCCTTTTAGTCTGAATGTGGTGTTTGATGCGTGATCATTATTCTTTAGAGTCATTGCGTGCCCTATTGATTTGAACACGATCCGTGTATCCATCATTTCCTGGTCTTCTCTAAAGAAGAGGGACCAATGGAAACGTTGTCATGTTGCCGTTGTTCAGCATGGAAACATTCATTAGCTAACAATGACATTATTGTTCTATTGATATAAAGGGAGGTCAGGTACTCTTTAAAGCAGCTGCTAGTTATGGGTACTTTCTACTGAAGTACATTTCAAAGCCTCTTTACTTTGACTTGAGTAAAGAAGTTTAGTCAGTACTTCTACTTTCACCAGAGTATTTTTAAACATGAGTATCTGTACTTCTACTTGAGGAAAGGATGTGTACTTTTGCCATCTCTGCTCACACTGAGGAGCTACGGGGGCAAATAAGGGACATTTTTATTTATGTTTGACCCTTCTGTGTTTCCGTACGGAGCAGGACTTTTATTCCATTCGTCCCACAGTGTTTTTTCACAGCATGTAACAAAATCTCGTCCATGTCTTTTGTCCCTTCAGGGCTCCGGTCCGCTGAACGATAAGACGTTGTTCAAAGAGAGGATTAGTCTTCTGTCTCAGAGCGCCGCCACGCCCATCCACTGTCTGTTTGAGGTGAGCCGCTAACTCCCAGCATGCATCAGTGTCCCAATCACATATTCAGAAAATAAAGGGCGGGACTAATCGTCTTTAGGGCTGAATATGAAGGTTTATTCTTCCTTAATGGCTCCCAGGAAGTAGCTGCTTTTCAACATATTTTACACATTTGTTATGAAAACCGCCATTTATATCCATCTTATACTTAAACATATTATAACAGTCATTTGTTAATATTTTTGACATATTTCTATGATGCTCTTCACACATTTATTGGATACCTACGGTGACCGACAGGTGTAAAATGCATTACAACGGTGTGTGTGTGTGTTTTTACAGCACATAGCCAATGGAGATGAGGTGGAGGTGAAGCGTCTGCTGAGTGAAGGAGAGAACAACGAGGACGTCAGGATGTGTCACCCCCTCTGCTCCTGTGACCTCTGTGACCTCCAGGTGTCCGGGTCAGTACACACACACACACACACACACACACACACACACACACACACACACACACACACACACACACACACACACACACACACACACACACACACACACACACACACACACACACACACACACACACCTTATCAGACCTCCAGGTGTGAAGGCCTTTAAACAAACAAAGTGCAGGACCTCAATCAGAAAACCCAAGAGTCAACCACACACACACACACACACACACACACACACACACACACACACACACACACACACACACACACACACACACACACACACACACACACACATCATCATCATCGGCGGTCACTCGTAGTCGAGTATGACTGTCCTCCTTCTTGGTCCTTGTGGGTCTTCAGGTGGGCATAGAGGCCGATTCTGGACCCGATTATTCGTGTGCAATGTGGACATGGGAATGTAGTGGTGGAGGGTTTGGGTTGGACCTGTGTGGTGGTTGCTCTCTCCTTCCTCAGTCTGCGCTTGTCTTGTGCAGCATGGCAGAGGTCATCATTGTATAGTGCAGTACCCTCACGGACAAGGTTTCTCCAGGTCGCCCTGTCTGTCGCCATGTCTTCCCAAGCTTTTAGGTCTATGTGGCACTTCTTTAGGTTTGTTTTTATGTTATCTTTGTACCTCTTCTTCTAGCCTCCAGGGGCCCGTTTCCCTTTAGCAGGCTTGGAATAAAGGACTTGTTTTGGGAGGCGAGAGTCAGGCATGCGGACAACATGGCCAGTCCATCTGAGCTGGTTTTGGGCAATGGTGGCAGTGATGGTGGGAATGTCAGCCTCCTCCAGGACGCTGGTGTTAGTGCGCCGATCCTCCAGCTAATCCTGAGGATTTTTCGGAGGGATCTCTGATGGTATGCCTCAAGTGTCTTTAAGTGCCTGCTGTATGTGGTCCAGGCCTCTGATCCATACAGAAGAGTGGGGAGCACCACAGCTTTATAGACCAAGATGTTGGTCTTTGCTTGGAGGTCACGGTTCTCAAAGACTCTCTTCCTTAGCCTTGAGAAAGCCCCACTGGCACAGCTGAGGCGATGGTGTATTTCATCATCAATAACAGCTTTTGATGATAGGAGGCTGCCAAGGTATGGGAAGTGGTCCACATGTTCCAGTCTGATGTTGTCAATGGAGATGTTTGGGGGTAGGACAGGCGTCCTGCTGTTTGGTGGTGGTTGGTGGAGGATTTGGGTCTTTTTTATGTTGATGGCTAGACCAAGCTGTTTGTATGCTTTCGCAAAGGCTGACACACACACACACACACACACTTATACACAGAAGAAATAACATGTAGTAATGAAGCTGCTTTAAGAGTCACAGGTTCATTATTAGGGTACGAGACAAACTGCTACTCAATTCCCCTTTCTCACACTTTTTGTCGTTGTTGCATCATAACTGCAGAACACGCTCGCTCTTTCACTTCCAATATGAACACACACACACACACACACACACACACACACACACACACACACACACACACACACACACACACACACACACACACACACACAGAGAGATTTTAGTGCTCAGAGTCCTTTTCTCAAAGATCTGCAGATAAATACACCGATCAATTATTAATTTATGACGTTTTCAAATATATATTATTTAAGTCATGTAACTTAGACCACCTGTTAGTTTCAGGGATCTGAATGGATATATTTTACTATTCATTTCTAGATATTGTTGGGAGAAGTTTCACATATTTTTACTGATATTATTTGGATTTCTTTCCTGACATTTTTCAAATTGTTCTAATATTTATTTGGGGCTTTGTCAGATATTTTCCTACCATTTAGTTTTTTACATATTCACTTATTAACTACAATATTTTTCCTTATGATGATATTTTTGATATATTTAAAATACTTTTTTGATATTAATTTGCACAAAGTTTGCTAAAAATCGGATATTTTTCACATATTTATCGGAAAATTATTATATAATTTTCAGAATTTTTTTACACATTTATTTCATATTATATTATAATTGTATATATTTTTCACATCTTCTTTGGAAAATGTTCACTTACATGTTTCACATAATCATAATCATTTTCCCATATATTTTGCACACTTTAACAAAACATTTTTGTACATATCTTAGCAGTTAGCCTATGATGCATTAACCTCTAGTAACCTTTGTTTGATGACTTCCTGTCGCAGGCGGTTGAACGACCCGTCCATCGTCACGCCGTTCTCCAGAGACGACCGAGGTTACACTCCGCTGCACGTCGCCGCCATCTACGGTGAACACACACACACACACACACACACACACACACACACACACACACACACACACACACACACACACACACACACACACACACACACACACGGGTACGTCTATGAAAAGCGCTATATAAATACAATTTATTATTATTATTATTAATATGACATCCTTTAACAAAAAAATTATTATACGTGTGTGTGTGTGTGTGTGTGTGTGTGTGTGTGTGTGTGTGTGTGTGTGTGTGTGTGTGTGTGTGTGTGTGTGTGTGTGTGTGTGTGTGTGTGTGTGTGTGTGTGTGTGTGTGTGTGTGTGTGTGTGTGTGTGTGTGTGTGTGTGTGTGTGTGTGTGTGTGTGTGTGTGTGTGTGTGTGTGTGTGTGTGTGTGTGTGTGTGTGTGTGTGTGTGTGTGTGTGTGTGTGTGTGTGTGTGTGTGTGTGTGTGTGTGTGTGTGTGTGTGTGTGTGTTTAGGTCAGGCCCGCCTGATCGACTTGCTGGTGTGTAAAGGAGCGGCGGTGAACGCCACGGACTACCATGCCCTCACTCCACTGCACCTGGCCTGCCAGAAGGGGTACCAGGGAGTCACGGTGAACACACACACACATACATCCAAGCATGCACACACACACTCACACTCCTACGCCCGTGCATTTGACTGTACATAAGATAATTTAAAGCAACTTATAGTTAAAACTGATGAACTGATAATGTGTAAGGTACATTTATTTATAAAGCACATTGTCAGACACAGAGGCAATTCAAAGTGCTTTACATCAACATTTAAACTTTAAGAAGAAGACAACAGAAAGGAACACAATAAATAAACACAATGGAATAACACATTCATAAAAACCATGCATAAAAGAGATACAGAATAGTTTTAAAAACAACATTATAAATACAGTAGGTGCTTAACCCTTGTGTGGTGTTCGGGTCAAATTGACCCGATTTCCATTTTCAATGAATAAAAAAATATATAAGGATATTTTTGTTCAACCTGAAACTCAATGGCCGGCGCTTATTTATAGTGAAGGACATGTGGAATTGTTTTTATTTTTTTCCACTTATGAAAAAATGCCCACCCGCATTTATGTCCTTCATAAGAGGTTCGGGTCAATCTGACCCGGATACAATACCAGGACAGACAGACAGAGAGAAACACACACACACACACACACACACACACACACACACACACACACACACACACACACACACACACACACACACACCACACACACCCACACATAATCGTATGCATAGAGAAGCTGTTTGATCGTGTTTTCCCTTGATCTTTACCCTTTGTAGTGTGTAGTACACAGAACTATCCTAGAACATTATAAACATTTTAGATCTTCCAGAAATGTATAAACATTTTACATTTTCTCGCACTGTCCCCCCTCGCACCTGCACGCCGGAGGAGGGACTAAACAGAGACATACCCTCAGTGTAGTAACAGTGTAGTGCAGAACTACAATTATCTACCAACAAAATGGCCAAAAGATATTCTGCTCAGAGCCTTGGAGCTAATACTGGATGAGAGTGAGTGGAATGCTTTAGAGGAACACGGTGAAGTGGGACAGGAAGACATTTCTGAAGATGAGGATAATGTGGAGGTAAACTCAGAATTTGACAGCAAATTGGAAGATGAACTTGACTCAGAGCCAGCTGCTGGAAGACCCCCACAGCCAGCCGCAAGAAGACCCCCACAGTCAGCTGCTGGAAGACCCCCACAGCCAGCCGCAAGAAGACCCCCACAGTCAGCTTCTGGAAGACCCCCACAGTCAGCTTCTGGAAGACCCCCACAGTCAGCTTCTGGAAGACCCCCACAGCCAGCTGTGAGGTCTGTGGACCCTCAAAGGACTCCAAGACACAGACTACATGCAACAACTGCAACAAGTACATCTGTGCTATACACAGGAAGAAGTTCTGCACATCATGTGTTTCCTAAACGGACCTGCATTGATCACATCATGTGTTTCCTAAACGGACCTGCATTGATCACATGATGTTCTGTCACTTCATCAATATATTTTTCTGATATACTGTATTTTATGAATAGTGACTGTTAATTGTTTTTATTTGCTTTGTGTTTTTATCTGTTCTATGTCATTTATATGGATGTTTCATTCTCTCTATATTTCACAGCCAAATACTTTAGGATGTGGTTCTTGTTTTCCAATTGCTGCTAAATGGCTTTACTTCCTTCAGGGCTTTGATTATTATATGACAGATTAAAAATAATAAACATTAATGAAAAAATGTTTCATTTACATTTGTCCTAGAAAAGCATGAGCAAAATGTAAACCTAGTTTTTATTAGTGTATTTTTTTTAACTTAAATTTTTATCACAAAAAACGATGGACACTTCCATTGTTACATTTGATCTAGCAAAGAGTATTTTCAAAAACTAATCATATATTTCATTTATATTGTTGGGGAATGAGTTAAAGACTATATATATATATAGTCAACATTACCAAAGGGTGCGAAATGTGAACATAACACAAGGGTTAAGTAAGTTAAAAGACTTCTGGGTAATGTTGTTAGCCTCGATTTAAAACAACTCAGCGTTGGTGAAGACCTCAGGTTTTCTGGAAGTTTGTAAACAATGTGTCTCTGGCTGATCAGATAGTCGACATTCCCTGAGGATAAAACGTTGATATTAATGTTGTGTTTTGTGTCTGTAGCTGCTGCTGCTGCACTATCAAGCCAACACTGACGCTCAGGACAACAACGGAAACACACCGCTGCACCTCGCCTGCATGTACGGCCACGAAGACGTGAGTAAACACTCCATTTGTTGTTGTTGTTGTTGTTGTTAAGAGGATTTCAGCCACGACCCTCCTATGTTTTTTTTCATCTATGAATGAATTATTTTAATATTTTTGTATGTATTATTATGTTATTAAAACTATTATTTATTTTATTGATTCATTATTTTTCAACCCTCAATTATGAAGTATATTGTTATTTATTTATTAAATGCAAATAGTATCTCGCACAGATTTAAACATCATCTTTTAAAATATAAAAAAAATTCTGATTCTCAATTTATTTACGCTTTCCAACGTTCTTTTTTTTACTTGTCTGTTAGCTTGTGCTGTTTTTCTCTACTCTAATAGACCATGTTGTGTGCGTGTGTGTGTCAGTGTGTGAAGGCGATGGTTTACTACGATGTGCAGAAGTGCCGCCTGGAGCTTCAGAACGATAAAGGCGACACGGCGCTGCACATCGCGGCGCGTTGGGGCTACGAGGGGATCATCGTGGTGCTGCTGGAGAACAGAGCCAACACCGACGTCTTCAACAAGAGCCGAGACACCCCGCTGCACTGCGCTCTCAACTCCAAGGTCAGGAGAAACGTCTTTATTGGATGCTGAGATGTTGTATTTCTGTGTTGGACCCTGAAGGCAGCATCCCTGGTCCAATGGGACACTGTGATTTTTAATGATTGCAGAAAATAACCTCTGTGTCAAACAAACGTTTATGATACTTTTCAGCAGGATAATCTCCAGATATTAACACCACTTTATGATTTCTGAAGTAAAAAGCTAACGTTGGGCTATAAATGAACTACAGCACGGTCACATGACTTCACGTCACCACCGCTAAGCTAAAGGAGGCTAATGTTGGGCTATAAAGGAACTACAGCACGGTCACATGACTTCACGTCACCACCGCTAAGCTAAAGGTGGCTAATGTTGGGCTATAAAGGAACTACAGCACGGTCACATGACTTCACGTCACCACCGCTAAGCTAAAGGCGGCTAATGTTGGGCTATAAAGGAACTACAGCACGGTCACATGACTTCACGTCACCACCGCTAAGCTAAAGGTGGCTAACGTTGGGCTATAAAGGAACTACAGCACGATCACATGACTTCACGTCACCACCGCTAAGCTAAAGGAGGCTAATGTTGCGCTATAAAGGAACTACAGCACGGTCACATGACTTCACATCACCACCGCTAAGCTAAATGTGGCTAATGTTGGGCTATAAAGGAACTACAGCACGGTCACATGACTTCACGTCACCACCGCTAAGCTAAAGGTGGCTAATGTTGGGCTATAAAGGAACTACAGCACGGTCACATGACTTCACGTCACCACCGCTAAGCTAAAGGAGGCTAATGTTGCGCTATAAAGGAACTACAGCACGGTCACATGACTTCACGTCACCACCGCTAAGCTAAAGGTGGCTAATGTTGGGCTATAAAGGAACTACAGCACGGTCACATGACTTCACGTCACCACCGCTAAGCTAAAGGTGGCTAATGTTCAGCAGTACTGACATATTTTATGTTGTAGGACAAAAATCTCTTTAGCTTGTGTTAATTAACCACAGACCTTATTTCAGGATAACAACCAAAACCACTTTCTAAAACCATTGACTTCCAGACTATGGAACAGAAAGTGCTAACATGCTGACTCATTCCCAGGTTTAAAGACTTATGAGGGTATTCAAAATAAAATAAAGGAACAGTCTAACGCTCTGTAATACACACATGTAATAAACAAACAAAATACATGTTTTATTTATATGCGCTCATCACGTTAAACAGGGAACTAATATATATATTATACATCCTGAGAAATGTAAAGATATTAGTAATCCAGGATGAAACCCTCTTTATTCGTCACATATGAACACACAGCACAGCACACACAGTGAAAGTGAAAGTACCAGTTCACTCTCCATATTAAGGTCTGTTTGGGGACTTGAACCGGTGACCCGTCCCAAGTCCCTACAGACTGAGCCACTGCCGGACATATATGCGGACACAATAGACGGTTTCATTCATGTGCTCTTAACTCAAAGGTCAGCAATTTTTTTTTTTTTTAATGTCATCTAAAAATCAATAAAAAAAAATTTTTTGTCGGATGTGAAGCTGAAAACATACTCTTTAAAACTTCTAGGTGAGTTTAGCTTTGATGGAAATGGGATCTGACCCACAGAGAGATTTAATACGAGCTGCTGCAGACATCAAAGGAAAAAAGAAATCAGAGAGAGTTCACTTTATCCAATCCGACATGTTTTCATGTTTCAGAGCCTTGATGTTTCGTGTGTGTGTGTGTGTGTGTGTGTGTGTGTGTGTGTGTGTGTGTGTGTGTGTGTGTGTGTGTGTGTGTGTGTGTGTGTGTGTGTGTGTGTGTGTGTGTGTGTGTGTGTGTGTGTGTGTGTGTGTGTGTGTGTGTGTGGTGTGTGTGTGTGTGTGTGTGTGTGTGTGTGTGTGTGTGTGTGTGTGTGTGTGTGTGTGTGTGTGTGTGTGTGTGTGTGTGTGTGTGTGTTCTCTTCTTGTAGATCCTGGTGTTGCTGCAGTCGACTCGGAGCGCTCTACGCAGCAGCAGCGGAGTCGATGTGAGTTTATTAATCTCTAGAACCAAATCCTCCACGGGGATAATGTAGTTTTTATTAAGGCTACTTTATTTAATTAGCATATTTCAGACACAAAGGCAATTCAAAGTGCTTTACGAAGGCAGAAACACATCATCAAAAAATAACTGAAGTGAACAAAAACACAATTCATAAAACAGTTAAAAAACGTGTTGTGAAATGGTGAATACAGATAATGCTGCAAGAACGGCTAACATGACCTCTGGAGGAGCATCAAAGAGTGTTCAGCCTCGTTTCAAAAGAACCCAGCATGGTTAGGTCGGCGTTAGATTCTCAGGAGGTTGTTCCAGATCTGCGGAGCAAAGAAACTAAAAGCTGCCTCATAGAATTGGTGTTTGTATTGTGGTTTCAGTCCATTTCCAGTTGAAAGAAGAATGTTAAAGTCTATCCTTTGAGTTATTGGAGCCAGTGCAGAGCTCTTAGAAGCTAGAACACTCTTTAAATGTTGCTTCAAAAAGGGGAAAAACGTGTGTTGATCTGTGTGTCCTCGTATATATTGATATATCCTCGTCTCCTCAGTCTCCCAGTCGCTCTCCTCTGGCTTCAGACTGCAGCAGCCGCCGATCCTCCGCCTCCAGCGAGTCCTCTCTGAACTCTGAAGTCAAACCGGACGGAGTCAGGGTCCGACACCGAGAGGTAACACAACGTAACACAATGTCACACAATGTAACACAACGTAACATAATGTAACACAACGTCACACAATGTCACACAATGTAACACAACGTAACATAATGTAACACAACGTAACACACCCACAAACTACAGGAAGATCCTTTAAACTGCCAAGAGAGACTTTCTTATCTCAGAAACAACAGGAGGTCCTGGTTGAAGAGGGGTTACGCATTACATACATCCCAAGTTAATGCACATACAATACATAAAGACAACCCAAAGCAAAGAGTAAAAGAGGAGATACACTAAACCAGCTAAAAACTCCCTCTGAAGGGAACTTTGGGATGTTAGCCTTTGCAGACCATTTACATGCACACAAATCTGACTGTGTGTGTGTGTTATTGACAGGTGGAGAAGCTGCTGCGTGCCATAGCAGACGGCGATGTGGAGATGGTGAGAAGTTAAAGCATTTTCTGCTTCTGAACATCCACATCTGGAAGAGTGGTCTCATTAATAACTGCTGTTTTCGTGTGTTTGTGTTAAGGTGCGTTACTTGTTGGAGTGGATGGAAGAGGAAGAGGATGATGAAGAGGATCTTCGGTCAGAGGTTCTGCTTTGCCATCCGCTGTGTCAGTGTCCAAACTGCGCTCCCACTCAGAAGGTAAGAGACCAACTCTGATGTGTTATACCTACGAACTACATCACGGTCACATGACTTCACGTCACCACCGCTAAGCTAAAGGTGGCTAATGTTGGGCTATAAAGGAACTACAGCACGGTCACATGACTTCACGTCACCACCGCTAAGCTAAAGGTGGCTAATGTTGGGCTATAAAGGAACTACAGCACGGTCACATGACTTCACATCACCACCGCTAAGCTAAAGGCTGCTAATGTTGGGCTATAAAGGAACTACAGCACGGTCACATGACTTCACGTCACCACCGCTAAGCTAAAGGCTGCTAATGTTGGGCTATAAAGGAACTACAGCACGGTCACATGACTTCACGTCACCACCGCTAAGCTAAAGGTGGCTAATGTTGGGCTATAAAGGAACTACAGCACGGTCACATGACTTCACGTCACCAACCGCTAAGCTAAAGGCTGCTAATGTTGGGCTATAAAGGAACTACAGCACGGTCACATGACTTCACGTCACCACCGCTAAGCTAAAGGTGGCTAATGTTGGGCTATAAAGGAACTACAGCACGGTCACATGACTTCACGTCACCACCGCTAAGCTAAAGGTGGCTAATGTTGGGCTATAAAGGAACTACAGCACGGTCACATGACTTCACGTCACCACTGCTAAGCTAAAGGTGGCTAATGTTGGGCTATAAAGGAACTACAGCACGGTCACATGACTTCACGTCTCCACTGCTAAGCTAAAGGTGGCTAATGTTGGGCTATAAAGGAACTACAGCACGGTCACATGACTTCACGTCACCACCGCTAAGCTAAAGGTGGCTAATGTTGGGCTATAAAGGAACTACAGCACGGTCACATGACTTCACGTCTCCACTGCTAAGCTAAAGGTGGCTAATGTTGGGCTATAAAGGAACTACAGCACGGTCACATGACTTCACGTCTCCACCGCTAAGCTAAAGGTGGCTAATGTTGGGCTATATACAGGGCTGCCAACATTTGAGTTCAGCTTGGAGTGAGAATTTTGTTTTGGTGAACCGAAAAAAGAAACGTTCATGTGTACAAACTAGGGTTTCCCATTAATGTACCAGGTGCTACATACACAGTGTACCCGCGACTCTTACAATCAAGTGCTATTTTATAAGTGGGGGGGGGGGGGGGGGGTCCTCACCTCCTCTAGGGGGATCCGGGGGCATGCTCCCCCTGGAAGATTTTTTTTTAAATATTGAAATTAAATTCATCAACATGGTGCTCTTTGAGAGCAAAATGAATTTATGGATACATCTCTCAACACCCATGTGAAACAGAACTGTACACATATTTTCTTTTTCTTTATGGATATTTTACAAATCACTAATCATTTAAACTGTATTCTTGTTTTACTGTCATATAGTATTATCTGTTTTTCATTTATTCTCATAAATGGTGACCAAAACATTTGAGACCCACTGAGATAACTAGACTAAAGTATCTAAACAGAGAGTCCCTTACCTCACTGAGCTGTAGTTATCTCTCTCAGTCTGACAGGAGAGAGCTCTCCCTTTCCTTGTTTAAGAAACAGCTACTAATATCCGTTAGCGCAGCTAGCTAGCCAGATGCTAACAACAACAATGCAAATAGTGAGTTTGGTAGAAATATACTGTATAATAGTAAAGTTATTTAAGATGATGCCATATTTATTGAAGATTTGACATTATAAATATTCCCCAAAATTATTCAAAAGCATATTCTTCCAAACTCCTTACTGTAGTATGACACACATGAGACTATTGATGTGTGTGGTGAGTTTGGTAGTAATAAGCTGTATAATAGTGATTGAATATTGTATTCTCTTTTTTTGGAGTTGCACTTTGCAGACGGTCCCTGAGCACTCGTTTCTTCTCCGGCTGCAGATAGAGACCGATGTAATGTGTCCAGCTCGGAGGACGGCGCGTATTGGCTTTTTTAATCAAAATGTGATTGTAGTTCGTTGTCAACCTTACCACGGTACTTAGTGTTGTGGAAATATTTTCCAAGGCCCATAACTTTGACCCAGTGTATCAGTTCAAACTGTCCTGACTGAGCACAGGCACCTGTAACCTTGGCTGCTGGGCTCTCAGTGTTTTGTCTCCCTGTTCCTGCCTGTTGGCGTCAGCTGATAGAGGTGTTATCATTCTATCTTGTTATGCAGCATGTTGATGATGCTCTCTGAACTAGCTAAATACATGGGTCTGGGGTAGAGTTCTTCAGAATTGACGTGGCAACTCTACCGTGGAGTCAGAACCTCTGACTCTTGGATTTGTGATGTGAATCCTCCGGCCGTTAACTCCAAATAAACCATCATGTGTTTGACATCAAAGCTACTGCTCTTACCGTGTCTCCTTCCTGAGTCGGTGACTCCCACTGCATAGCTACACAGAAGTTTCCTCTACACTTAGGAGACGTACTTTGTGTCTGAACAACGTTTTGATCATGAGTTATTGATCCGTGAAATCAGAATCCCCCAATATCGTTCCAACTTTACCGAACGAAGCCAGAAGACCGTCTCATGTCGTAGAACACTCAGTTTGCTGTTCCTTCACTTTATTTTTATATTTATATACATTTATTTTGGACGAAAAAAAGGCATGTGTGGCGTGAGTGCGTGAGATATGGGTTAATTGTGTGACTCTCACGCTCAATGCGTGAGTGTTGGCAGCCCTGCTATAAAGGAACTACAGCACGGTCACATGACTTCACGTCACCACAGCTAAGCTAAAGGTGGCTAATGTTGGGCTATAAACAGGGTTGCCAACCGTATTTGAGCGAAAAGGGGCGTGTCCCGTACGGGACTTTGTTTGTCCCGGACTCCCGTGTAAAGGGAAAAATAAAAAATATGTTTCTGTTTGCGCGCAATGCAGTGTGTCTGGCTGCGTGCCTGTGTGTTTGTGCGCTGTATGCGAAGGGCGCTAGGACCGCTCAGTTGACAGGGCAGGGACAATGCTCGCACGTGTGTGTGAGAGAGTCAGTCAGCTGATTGATGGGAAAATGCTGGGAAAATGGTTGGTTGAAGGATAACATTAAGTCTAATAATGATGTACCGTGCATGTTCACATCATGTATACTTTGCATTACTTAATACCATTTTTCAAATATTTTATTTTTTTAACATTTTGGACAAAATAGCCAATTGTACATCGAGGTGCCCAGATGTCCCGAGTGCCCACCTATCCGATTTGAACATGCTGATGGACAATGTGATGTAGTAGCCTAATGCAGGTGTAAGACCATTGTGTTTGTATTGTGTTATAGGTATGCATCGTTTTCTATGCATTTTGACGGTTTTGGGGGGTTTGACCCCTCGAACCCTAGGGGGCTGGCTCCCCCAAAATAATTAAATAACATAATCCTAACCTAACCCTAACCATAACACCGAAATAAAGAAACAAAAAAAAGTAACTAAATGCGCCAGAAACCCGAAAATCTTGCCCGCGGGGGACACGTGTCCCGTTTCTCCATTTCTGGAAGTTGGCAACCTTAGCTATAAAGGAACTACAGCACGGTCACATGACTTCACGTCACTGTGTTCGTTGTGATGGAAACTTTCTGAAGCAATGGAGACGAGACTCGACACGAGGAGAGCAGGAACTTTGATGGCAAACACTGATGGTTTATTTGGAGCTTTGGCCGGATAATTCACAAGATATGAGCTGAGCCACGAGGTGACTCAGCTGCTGCCAAACCAATTCTGAAGATCTCTACCCCAGACCCATGTCTTTAGCCAGTTCTGAGAGAAGAATCAACATGCTGCATAACGAGATAAACCATAACACCTTTATCAGCTGACGCCAACAGGCAGGAACAGGGAGACGAAACACAGAGAGCAGCCAGAGGTCACAGGCCTGTGCTCAGTGAGTACAGACTGATAAACTGGGTCAAAGGTGGGGGGCCTAGGAAAATATTTCTCCAACATTCGTCTCTGTGTGTTCTTATAATAGAAACATGCATTTCCAAGCATTTGGACTACCTATGTTGCAAATGCATTATCTTTTCAATTTACACACTATTGCACGTCTGTCCGTCCTGGGAGAGGGATCCCTCCTCTGTTGCTCTCCCTGAGGTTTCTCCCATGTTCCCTTTAAACTGTGGGGTTTCTTTGGGGGTGTTTCCCTGTCTGATGTGAGGGTCTAAGGACAGAGGGTGTCATATTGTCATACTGATATTCTTTACAAATTGGAAAGTCCACTGAGACAAATGTAACATGTGTGATATTGGGCTATATAAATAAACATCGATTGATTGTGTCCTCAGCTCTCGGTGCTGCAGGCCGGCTCTCTGGGGGTGAACAGCTGTAACGTGGACGGCTTCTCTCCTCTTCACGTCGCTGCGCTGCACGGACACGCACCGCTGCTCGCTCTGCTGATCCGACACGGAGCCAACGTCAACGCCAGAACAACCACAGCGCCACGCCGCTGCACCTGGCCGTCCAGAACAGCCACGTCCAGGTAGGAGGACGCAGAAAACCAGGGCTCCAAATGTCGTTTTTTAATGCTGGGTTAGACAGTTCGTCAAAGGGGGCCTCGGGATTATATTTTGAGAAAACCCACACCTGTGTAATAATCAGTGCAGTAGTTGATAAGTACCTTTGCTCTAGTACTGTACTGAAGTTACCCTCCTGTGTCATGCTCCCTGATAATAATACAGAAGTGAGTCAACAGCAACCCTGATGTGTATCAAGTTTCTGTCTCAGCAGGAGAAGTGTGCTGCGTTTATTCAGCCTCTCACTGGCACCATCTTACGGCAGAAAGACATCAGTGCAATACAAATAAAATGCATTTAATACCTTTTATTTTCTCTGATGACAAAATAATGAATAATAATAATTAAAATTAAATAATAATAATTAAGAATAATGATTATAATAATTGAAACAATTATAATAATGATTAGGATCATTTAAAATATATTTATAATAAACATAACAATTATAATAGTACCGTTATTTTCATGGCATGTAAAGACCCTTTAAACCAGGGGTGCCCAACCTTTTTTGAACCGAGAGCTACTTTTAAAGTTGCCAGTCTGCCGAGATCTACCAGTCCAAATAGAGAGACGTAGCCATTACTGACAGCCTACTACCAGGTAAATACACACTTCTACTTGTATACAACTGACCTTTGTACGATGAATACTTCATAAAATACTGCAGATCCTTTATCTCACCTCTTTCTAATCTACACACATACAAGTATTTAACTGAAGTTACACAACAGTGTTGTTGATACAGAGTTGGAGTTTATTCACACGTCACTACAGTGGGTAATGTTTTCAAGAAGCATTGAACAGTGCTGCCACATATGACACAGGAAAACAAGAAAAGACTCTGAACCCTTTCTTTGCCATTATATAAAAATAGTGTTGCTACTGTAAGAGAATATTTTAATCTGAGCTTGATTATAGAGTTTCTTATCTTTCCTTAGAATCTGTGATATTGCAAACATGCTTTGTATTAAAGTCAAAGCTCCTCTCTGTAAGTTGAGGTCACAGGTCAAAAGCTTCTCCCTCTTTCCTGTGGGGGAAGGGTTCCTGCCTCCATGCATTTTGCGAGACAGATTATTGTCTCACATCTGCTATTGATTAGGTAAAACGCGGGCTTCTGTAGCTCCGCCTCTTCTCATGTTGATGCGTGCTGTGTCTTCTTTGTGTCAGAGATGGCTTGGTAGACCACAGGGATGTGTGAAACGAAGTAATCTCCCCGGCTGTATTAATGTACTCTTAAATAAACTCTCAGTGCTGTGGCTAAAAGACGATCCAGACTCCTTCATTCCACCTCAACATTGCAACACAGAAGTTTTCTTCACAGCTACAAAAGTATAAATGAGGCTTACTAATAAGACAACTGAGATCTGAAGCTGCTCAGGAATCTGCTGCCAAAGTGCAATAAAAAAGACAACATTAATAGAATCAAACCCTTTTTTGTTGCATTTTAGTCGAGTATAAAAAGAAATGCCTTTAAAAATAGGATGCAAGCAACTCTAGTTTCTTAACCTGAATTGATAATAGACTATAATCAATTTAAGTTTGCATTCTTATACCATTTTGTACAATAATTATAATGACTAAGTTCAATCAAACTAAAACTCACAGCTAATTAATAACGGTATCTAACTTGAGTTTTTATTATATCAAAAACCTGTTGAAATGCTACTGTTATTGTTGTTGTTTACTGTCCCCAAAAGCGCGTCGGCAGCCTCCAGGGGCCTATACTACGAACTGAAGCTGGTTCAACATAACCTGGATATGTTTGAGTTAGCCGGTTGGCCTAATATCCAAAACATACACGCTCTCGCTAAGCGGTCCTACGACACGGGTTATCAAGTGGATCGCTCAAGCCAGCCGTGTCCTATCTAGTTAGGTGCACGTTCACATGAAAGGGGTGGTCTTTGGAGCATTCGACCAATCACAAACATGGAGAAGCGTACTGACAGCGCAGCGTCATACTTCCTGAATGAAAAGTCAACTATAATATTAGACATATGAAGAAGTTAAACTTTAAACATCCGTGACTTAAACACTTTATCCAGGATCAAAGCCACAGAGCTGCACCTGCAAGGTGAACACAGCTGGGAACAGAACAAGTGTTTGAATGCGTACATTAACAGGTTTATGATATCACTGCCCCGTCTAAGACACCATCTGACTTTAATTACATTTGACTCGAGTGTTTCCTCAACTTAATGTGTTGCTTAAAATAATACTTCTGCATACAGTATGTGACACTGTGAGTGTTGCACGACTCAGATCAGGAAATATATGATACATTATGATGTGATATGAATGATAATGGGACACATCGACGTCTGCACTCACAGTGCCGCGGACTGTAGGCAACGTAATGTTACTTTGATCCGGTTACTTATGTTGTGGCAGATATTTAATTAAGCTTTCTTAACATAATAGTATAATTATAATAGTCAGATTGCTCTGAAGATGGGAGGTGATGTTATTCATTTTCACGTTCACACAGTCGGTGATTTTGGCTGGCTGTCTTTCCTGCAACGGCAGTTTAAACTGTATTTCTTCCTCCGCACACTGAGCTCTGATTGGTCAGCAGGCGTGGTGCTTTCGCTGAGTTGATCTCTTATCTTGGAACCTATCCTGCATCGGAGCACAGACTTAGGTTCCAGGATAAGTCACCATGGAGATCTAGCCCGCTAAAAAGAGAACCAGCTTCGTAGGACCGGAAAGCCGGAGTTTTCCCTGAATTTAGCCGGCTAAGCGAAAATCCTGCTTCGTAGTATACCCCCCTGGAATGCTTCTTTCACAACTTCGCCGTCTTTGAAAGACTTCATGTGTTTCTCAAGAACGTGACTGACACGATAAGATGCTCTGGTAGCAGCCTTGCTCTTGTTGTTGGGCCTGGTGGAAATGGACTGCTGTGCATTTAGCTGTCCTTTCAGGCCCCTCCCCTTTTCGAGCGTAGGGCAGAATTAGGAGGGAATTCCGTCTCGTAGCGTTTGTGCACTGTTTTGAAATGCCGCTCCTAAATTACCCTTCTTCGATAAAGCCACGCTCGCATTGCAGATGAGACAGATGGACTTTGAATTGGAATAGATACAAAAATAATCATCCTCCCACTCGGAGTGAAAATGATATATTTTGGGCTCTTTTGCTTCTGCCATAATTGCGGTCTTGTGTGTGCGGACTGTCACTCCTGTTGACACGGACAACGTCAGCGAAATAGTGCCCACTGCCCACCAGCCACGCCCCGACACATGGGGTCACGCCGGCCAATCACAAAGCTTTGATGCGTTCAAGTGCATTATTCTGCCACAGGAAGATTATGTTATAGGACATTAACGATAAAACAGAATATTGTTGTTCTATTTTTAGACACATCTCGCGATCGACTGGGAATCTCCCCGCGATCAACCGGTCGATCGCGATCGACTGGTTGGGCACCCCTGGTTTACATGAACAAGTAAAAAATACCATAGAGAGAGAAATAAGCTTTTTGTCTGCATTAAAAAATATATATATATTTTATCGCGTACATATTTCGGTTCATTTTATGTCCAGTTGTTTACAGTTTCATTGTGTTTTGTTTTTTAGTCTTTCTGAAATGTGCGACTTCCTGTTTCAGGTGATGAGGTTCCTGTTGGAGTGCAACGCCAAACTGAACAAGAAGGATCACTATGGAAACACGCCGCTCATCCAGGCCTGTCTGTGTGGGAACCTGGAGACCGCCAGCACCTTGTTACAGGTACACACAGATTTTTATTTATGTACATCTTTCACATCTTTTTTCATTAAGTCTTCAGACATTTTTTCCACATTTTAGACGTAATTTTCTAAAGTTTTTTTCGGGTATCGTCAGACTTTATTTGCTGTTGGCTAGCTTAATCTGCAGAGGAACACACTCTGAACGCACCTGAACACGCACCTGAACTTACTCTGAACGCACCTGAACACACTCTGAAGAGAAACCAGATGGAAGACACACACACACTCTGAACGCACCTAAACACACTGAACACACTCCACAGGAGAGACACCAGACGGAAGACACAAACACACACACACTCTGAACACACTCTGAACACACTCTGAACACACTCCACAGGAGAGACACCAGACGGAAGACACAAACACACACACTCTAAACACACCTGAACTAAATAAATAAACTTTGATTTGATTTGAACACACCTGAACACTCCTGAACGCTCCTGAACACACACTGAACGCACCTGAATACACTCTTAACACACCTGAACACACTCCACAGAAGACACATCAGACAGAATACACACACACACACACACACACACACACACCTGACACACACACCTGACACACACAACGCACCTGAACGCAATCCACAGGAGAGAAACCAGACGGAAGACACACACTGAGAACTCTTGCATCACATTCCAGAAATCACTGTGTGTGTGTGTGTGTGTGTGTGTGTGTGTGTGTGTGTGTGTGTGTGTGTGTGTGTGTGTGTGTGTGTGTGTGTGTGTGTGTGTGTGTGTGTGTGTGTGTGTGTGTGTGTGTGTGTGTGTGTGTGTGTGTGTGTGTGTGTGTGTGTGTGTGTGTGTGTGTGTGTGTGTGTGTGTGTGTGTGCAGAGCGATGCGTTGGTGAACGTGGTGAACCAGCAGGGGAACACGGCGCTGCACGAGGCGGTGCGAGGGGGGCAGCAGGCGCTGGTGGAGCTGCTGCTGAGGGGGGGGGGCGGCGCCGGGCCTCAGGAACAAGAGGCAGAGGACAGCGCTGGAATGCGCCTACGAGCTGGGAGGCAAGGTGATGATACACACACGCACGCACGCACACACACACACACACACACACACACACACACACACACACACACAACACACTGTAGGGACATTAAAAACATTTTCCTGGTCTTTTTGAAGATTCTTCTGGTATTCTGGTATTTTTCCAACTTTAATTACTAATAGTTTGGAATTCTTTGCGAGTGTTTTCAGCACTCTTCTGCTGTTATTAAGGTCGTGCTCGTTGTAATTCCTTTTCTTTAAGATCATCACATGTTTGTTTTTTTCCTGTGTGCATTATTAAAATGTTGCCCTTTTGCACAAAGTTATGACATTTTTTCACATACATTTCACAGGTTTCTTTCACATATTTAGACTTTTATCGTACATTTTCCAAAATGTTTCAAATATTTATGCTACTTTTAGCTCAAATTTGTTTTTTACCTTTAATAAAATACACTCTAGGCTATGCTTATTTTATATATCTGAAATTCCCACTTCTTTTCAATCAAGCTGAAGACTTTTCTGTTTGCCTTTTTATTAAATCAAATATAACTATTGTATGATTCATATCTTATACCTGTCTTATTACTTCTTAACTTGGTTCTATTGACATTTTCTTGTTTTTTTGATAATATGAGGTTATTATCAGACAATAGAATGTTTGTCAGTCCGAAACACAAGGTTAATAACTTTAATATGATATAAATAGAGAAAACATCATAACAAAACATATTTGGTAATTAATTTTCAGCCCTGTAAAGATGTTTGTAACTTTCATCTAACTTTTTAACATCTTCCTCCTTCAGAACACGGAGATCCTGAGAGCTCTGCAGCAAGCGTCCGGACTTTCTCCCGACGCTGAGCCAATCAAACTCCTCTCTGTGCCCAAAGGCGCTCTGGGTAATTCATATCAGCATTGCTTTAGTAACGCCCAAAAGAAAATAACTTTCATTTTAAGCTTTGCACCAAAATGCTTACAACATACTGAATGTCTGATTTATTTCCAGCTTGTTAATAGAAGTATTTGAAATGTCTCTCCGTACATTTGTAGCCAAACTGTTTCATTTCAAGTCTGTTATTATTATTATTTAGGATTTAATTTCTCATTGTCTCTGCAGCTCATTCCTTCGTGCAGCGTCTGCGTCTTCATGATCACGCAAACGGCCGGAGACAGAAACTAGCTCAGTCCATCAGCAGGTAGCTCTAAAAGATCAGCTCTCAGATAATCCAAATATAAGAAATAAGATTGAGTTTGAGTCATTTTAATATTTCTGCTTTGATTCAGGATGAATCAGATGAAGAAAGGAACATCCAGGTGTTCACCGAACTTCAACCCGGTACATTTGAGTTTATTTTAACTGTTATAATCCCACACTACATGCCACACCAAAATGACTGGTTTCACGGGTAACAATGGAATGCATGGTATAGAGCGGTGCAGTGACGCATCCTAAAACCCTGCAGGAAGCTGCTGGTCCCCTCGACAAAAAAGCAACGGGATTTCTCCATAGGATTTGGAATATTGTAAATAAATAAGTTCTGTGGAAAACCAACCCGTTTGATAAATGCACGTTTTGTTCAGCCGGATAATCTCCACATGTCTACCCTACTTTTTTTTAATCATAAATCTAGTCCCCAGAAGCAAAATGCTAACGTGATGCTACAAAGGAACTACAGCCGAGTCCAGCAGCACGACTTCAACGTCACGCCGACTTCAGATCCATATTCAAACACACAGACTCTAAATGGAACGAGTTGAAGCGTTTGTTTGAACACTCTGCAGGAGGCAGGGACTTGCTTTCAAGCAGAACAGAAACTAACTTAGAGGAGTGTTCACGTGTTCGGCGTAATGACGTACAACGGCCTCCACGACTTCTGTAGTCCTATTCAGCCACTTGGTAACAACCATCGTTTTTCAGACACGTCAACTCTTCAGAAATCACCAGTGGGGTCACTGCTGATGATTTAATGTCGTAGAACAAAACGTGATCCGTCTCTTCAATGTGTCTCAACCACAGACCTTATTTCCAGATATTTTCCAAAATCCTATGGAGAGATCCCATTGGCTCTGAGACGAGGGAACAGGAAGTGGAGAAATGCTGACTCCCTTCCTGGTTTTAGGACTCATTCCTACACCACTCTATTGGCTATATAAAAAAGAAAATATAAGGAACATTAAAGATTTTCCTGGCTAAAAATGTTATTTCTAACCGTTTAAATCATTTATACAAAAGAGAAAATGGATAAACATGATTAATTTATTCTTGTCTCAACACAATCCAAATCTATACAATTTAAATAAATTTGAAAAGGCACACAGTTTGAGTTAAGATAATGAAAGTGCCTCTTATAGTCACTGTATTTCTGGTAGAAAATCACAGTTAAAACACACGTGGCCGACTAATAAAGCTAATAGCTGTTATTTAAACAATTGATTCCTTATGTTTCCAGATAACAAAATGTGTGCTTTTTCCACTGTGTTTTCCTCAATCTTTTTTGAACGTTTGATGCCCTCTTACTCCCGGTTTTCTGGTTTGATTTGGATTTTCCTTCCTCAGGAGAGTCCGGTGAGGAGGAGGCTGAGGAGGGGGGAGACCCTGGAGGTCAGCAGCCCCTCAGCGAGCCTCGATGGTGGGGCTCGGATCAGGGAGAGGCCCCTGGGTCGCTGGCACACCCTGGACTCAGGAGAACACACAGAGGAACACACACACACTCTGAACGCTCCAGAAGACACTCTGAACTCACCTGAACTCACTCTGAGCGCTCCTGAATACACTCAGAACGCTCCTGAACTCACTCTGAACGCTCCAGAACACACTCAGAACGCTCCTGAACACACTCTGAACGCTCCAGAACACACTCAGAACGCTCCTGAACACACTCTGAATGCTTCAGAACACACTCAGAACGCTCCTGAACACACTCTGAACGCACCTGAACACACTCATAACGCTCCTGAACACACTCAGAATGCTCCTGAACACACTCTGAACGCTCCAGAACACACTCTGAACGCTCCAGAACACACTCAGAACGCTCCTGAACACACTCTGAATGCTTCAGAACACACTCAGAACGCTCCTGAACACACTCTGAACGCTCCAGAACACACTCAGAACGCTCCTGAACACACTCTGAACGCTCCAGAACACACTCTGAATGCTTCAGAACACACTCAGAACGCACCTGAACACACTCTGAACGCTCCTGAACACACTCTGAACGCTCCAGAACACACTCAGAATGCTCCTGAACACACTCTGAATGCTTCAGAACACACTCAGAACGCTCCTGAACACACTCAGAACGCACCTGAACACACTCAGAACGCTCCTGAACACACTCTGACACACCTGAACACACTCAGACACACCTGAACACACTCAGAACGCTCCTGAACACCACTCTGAACGCTCCAGAACACACTCAGAACGCTCCTGAACACACTCAGAACGCTTCAGAACACACTCAGACCGCTCCTGAACACACTCAGAACGCTCCTGAGACACACTCAGAACGCTCCTGAACACACTCTGAACGCTTCAGAACACACTCTGAACGCTTCAGAACACACTCAGAATGCACCTGAACACACTCAGAACGTTCCAGAACACACTCAGAACGCTCCAGAACACACTCTGAACGCTTCAGAACACACTCAGACACACCTGAACACACTCAGACATTCCAGAACACACTCAGACACACCTGAACACACTCAGACACACCTGAACACACTCTGAACGCTTCAGAACACACTCAGAACGCTCCTGGACACACTCTGAACGCTCCTGAACACACTCCACAGGAGAGACACCAGACGGAAGACACACACACCGAGGACACTGACGTCTGCAGAGTCAGCAGTGAGAACTCTTCTGAAAACCCCCCTACAAACACTTCATCTGAACCCCTTCCCACACACACTTCATCTACACACACCTCATCTACTGAAGCCCCTCCTGCACACACTTCTTCTGAATCTCCTCTTACACACAACTCGTCTACAGACCCTCCTACACACACCTCATCTGAAAACCCTCCTACACACACCTCATCTGAAAACCCTCTTACACACACCTCATCTGAAAACCCTCCTACACACACCTCATCTGAAAACCCTCTTACACACACCTCATCTGAAAACCCCTCCTACACACACCTCATCTGAAAACCCTCCTACACACACCTCATCTGAAAACCCTCCTACACACACCTCATCTGAAAACCCTCCTACACACACCTCATCTGAAAACCCTCCTACACACACCTCATCTGAAAACCCTCCTACACACACCTCATCTGAAAACCCTCCTACACACACCTCATCTGAAAACCCTCTTACACACACCCCATCTAAAAACCCTCCTACATACACCTCATCTGAAAACCCTCCTACACACACCTCATCCGAACCTCTTCCTACACACACCTCATCTGAACCTCTTCCTACACACACCTCATCTCCAACACACACTGTATCTACACACACCTTATCTGAATCTCCTCCCTCACACACCTCAAACACTTCTCCTGACCCCACAGAGGATTCTCACCCCACCAGTCTCCACCCTCTAAATGGAGAGTTGGAGTCATGTGGCGACCAACGTCCGTCAGAAAAAGAGGGCGGGGCTTCCTGTCCCACCTCCATCCCGACCAATGGACGAGGAGAGTCAGGTCGTGAAGGTGGTGAATGAAAAGGAGGAGTAACCAGTCGTCTGGTTTCTCCTTCCCTCGATGTAAGACTGCAAAAGCCCTGAGAGGCAAACGAGGACATTTTTTTTTTCAATCCTGGTCTAAAGTTTTCTCTCCTGTGTTTATGACTTAAAAACAGGTGGAAATAAAAGTTTTTGCCAGGATTATCTCCTTAAAAATCTTCTTTAAATACTCAAAATAGTGCTTTATTAATTAAATGTAGTCTTATTAAAAATCGAAAATATATTATTATTTTTATTAATAATTGCTATTGTTTTGAAGAATTGCATAGCGATAATATTGCTTTATTTAATAATAATAATAATAATAAAGCATTATTTTACATTTTTAAAGCGCTTGTTGTAATACTAACGTTGGCCACCAGAGGCTCCAATTCTGCACACCAGCTGATTAACGCGGATTAAAATACATTTCTAGCCCAAATAAAGACAGGACAGTATTATAACTTGACTTGCAATAGCCTACCAGTATTTGGAGAAACTAAAACATCATAAATACTTTAATATTCAGAACGTAGCGTAGTGAGCGCACCTATCAACCTCTTGAGGCCAAAAACAGTATTACAACAACAAAGACCTAAACAAAAAAAATTATGAATCACCTTCCAAATCTTATTTTTCCTCTGGTTTTCAACATTTCTTTTAGATAAATGATCTTGGCAAAAGCTTTTCCTGGCAACAACTTTATTTGTAACCCTTTAAATCAGACATACATGAGAAAACGTATGGATCAGTCTTTAGAAAATGGATCGACACCCTTTTTTTTTCTGCTCATGCAGAGGCCAAAAACTAAAGCACACCAGTTTGAGATCAGAGGATGAAGCTGCTTCTTATAGTCGCTGTATCTCCGGTAGAAAACCACTGACTGCTTATGACTGTATTTTAACCCATTTGATTCCAACATGTTTGTGTAACTGATCCTGCATTCAAGTTTTTCAAGTTTCTGCAGAAATGCAATTGGATCTCGTTGGTCTTATCCACCAGTCGGGATAATAAGTCCTCCTCTCCCTCTTCCTCTCTTCTCTTGAGTTTGAAGCACTTTCTTGTCTCCACAAAATAAGAAAAAGGGATGGCAAACAGACATGAAAACGGTTTGCTTTAGAGTTCAGCCGTTAGCCTGTAGCTCTGTCAGGACTTTAGTGGGAAACACATGTAGTTTTACTTGAAATGTTTCAGTGTTCAAATGTTGATTTGAAGTTTGGTTTGTTTGTTATTTTTCCCCGTTTAACATCCAACTACTCCACTTGTATTTTTATTAGGATTATTTTAATTTATTTATGTCTTGTCTTGTGTTCAGAGAGGTAGATTTTTTTTCCTGAATGGCAAAAATGTGTGTTTTCTGCTCAGATATAGTTTAGGTTAAAGGATCACACTGCTGGTTTTTAATGTTTTATATCCCATTAAATACAATTATATATTTTTTTGCATCAATGCTAACTATTTATAAAATCATACTGAAATATTTTTGGGTTAATTCCCTTGTTTTACAATAAAATCTTACTTTGATGTTGAAACATGCTGCTGATTTCTTCATATAAATATCTTCATTTGTTTCACCAGGAACTCTGTCTGCAGCGTCAGCAGTGAGAACTCTTCTGAAACCCCACCCCCCCCCCACACACACACACTCACTTCATCTACTAAAGCCCCTCCTACACACACTCATCTACTAAAGCCCCTCCTACACACCACTTCATCTACTAAAGCCCCTCCTACACACACTTCATCTACTAAAGCCCCCTCCTACACACACTTCATCTACTAAAGCCCCTCCTACACACACTTCATCTACCTAAAGCCCCCTCCCACACCCACTTCATCTACTAAAGCCCCTCCACACCACACTTCATCTACTAAAGCCCCTCCCACACACACTTCATCTACTAAAGCCCCCTCCTACCACACACTTCATCTACTAAAGCCCCTCCACACCACACCCTTCAATCTACTAAAAGCCCCCTCCTACACACACTTCATCTACTAAAGCCCCTCCACACACACACTTCATCTACTAAAGCCCCTCCTACACACACTTCATCACTAAAGCCCCTCCTACAACACACTTCATCTACTAAAGCCCCCTCCCCACACACCCTTCATCATAAAGCCCCTCCCACACACCCTTCATCTACTAAAGCCCCTCCCTACACACACTTCATCTACTAAAGCCCCTCCTACACACACTTCATCTACTAAAGCCCCTCCTCCACACACACTTCTCCTACACATACCTTACCTGTATCTCCTACACACACTTCATCTACACACCATTTTTTAAGGATATCTTTGGCAGTAGTTTCCAGCATATCAAGGGAATAAAAGTCACCAACTACACAATGGATGAAGATGTATGGGCTCAAATGGGTATTTAACAAAAACATAGGATTTATTTTAGAGCAGGCAAAGAATTTAATAAGAGGAAATAATTATTCTTTTGAATTCCTCCTTAAAAAAACAATAGGTTAATGTTTTTGTTTTAATTTGTGTGTGAAATGATGTGCTCTAATTCCATTGGTCATCAGTGATGGAAAACCGAGTATTCGCTGAGCCTTCAGTTTGGTCCTTTAACATTAGATATTCAGTGCATTACAACAAAATGAAGCGTCTGCAGTTCTTCAGAAACGTCTCCGTCAGTGTTACTGTTCATAATAATGTCACATGTTCATGTTATTTGTTTCGGTGAGGATGAAGCTTCAGACTCTATGTGTTTCGTCCATTTGTGTCCACTCTCCATTGTTTTTCACCTTAACATGAAAGGATGTCAAAGCCGCTAAACTGCAGTAGTCGAGCCTTAATTATTTTTGTACCACTGGTTTTATTTTTAAGGTTTTGGATGTTTTTTTAAATGATGTGAATGTGCCTTATTTAATTCACACCTTGATAATACATATAAATCATTGAGACTAATTTAATTATGAGATGGACGTTTTTGTTCCGGTTTAACAGTATGCAATGAAAACATTGGGATGGCTTTTAATTGATAAAGCAAATGAATAACAAACAATACAACTTTATATCTGAGACATATGATATGTTGTTGAGTATAATAGGACCAATATGTTTCACACAGTGTATATGAGAGTATTTAATCACATGAGAGATTATCATATTGAATTTGAAACGAGTGAACATTGAATGATTATTCAGCTAAATGTTCTTAATCCCAGTGCTTGATAGGTTGTGGCTGCAGTGAAGTAAACGCACCAGTTTGCCTCGTTGTGCTGGTTCAGAGCTGACCAGTGATCGGGTTACAGCCCACAGTTACAGAGCTTGTTTCTCAGCTTCAGAGGATTGTCCACATCTCCGGCTGGTTCGAGCCTCTGTGGGGAGGAACCGTGAATCTGTCAAACCACCGCTGTGAGACAGTGGTGAACCGTGTCACAACTGGACCTTCTGTAGACACACACACCCCCCCAGTTAATGGGAGAAATACGATAAGATAATACTTTAATGATCAAGTCTGAAATGCTCCTTGCATCACAGCAGCTCCATGTGTAACATCAACAGACAAACATCAAGACACAATACATGAACAACAAACAACAAACATTGAACATAACAGCAGGATCAGTGAGAGGAAAGCTGCTCAAAGAGCCTTCAGCGTGCATCTGATCTGGATTCAGCTCTGTGTTCACTGAGAGGACTGACTGGAGCACAAAGGATGCTTCAGTCTGACTCTATTGAATCAAGGGACCCTGTATCTCACAGGTAGCAGGATAGGATCCAGAACTCAGGATCCAGGTGTAGACATTCACAAAAAACACATTTCGAGACATGAGAGTAAACGGGTACAGAGAGAGAGAGAGGAAAGAAGTAAGGTGTTCCCTGACAGTCTAAGGCTATAGCAGGAAGAATAAGGGGCTGATGATGATGTCCTATAAGCTTTATTGGGACAGTAGGGTATATGAGATATTTAAGATAAGATGTTTCATGCCCATAAATGATAGGCAAGAAGAAGCATTTGTAATGATATGCTGTGTGTTATCGGGAACCAGTGCAAAGCAGACAAAACAGGAGGAATGTGGCAATTTAAGGTTTTTTAAAACTTTACTTCCTCTTAACAGTGGGTATAAATAAAGTCAATCAAAAGTCAGTTTTGCAGATGAGTCAGAGAAACTAGCTGCAACACGAGGCTCCTGAAAGGGGGGGCTGTTCATACTCTGCATTATGACAATAAGCCAATAAACGGCACATCAGACAGGATATGTACTTAGTCCTTAAGAGGACATCGACTTCATGAACACACAACATTAAACTGTGCAACAACAAGCTGTCCATTCACCATCCTCTCCTCTCCTGCTGCTGCAGGGACTGAGTAAGCAGACGTTGTTCTGCAGCTCTCACTTTACTCCACTAGATGTCAATGCTGGCCTTTCCAACACAAAGAGCTTTAACCCACGTGTTGTGCAATAAAAGAGGACCTGAGATTTGACTCCATTAAGACTAGAGATGATGCTTTGAAGATAAACTACTAAGGTGTTAAGTCCTACCTGATAAAGTCCTAGCATAATGCAACGTTTTAAGACAATGACAGGCATGACTTGAATATTTAATCTTCCATAATTTGCATTTAAAGGACTTGATCTCAGAGATATGCACAGCAGTAAATATAATAAACAAGAACAGATTTACCATGAACTCATGGCAGGCCTGTGGGTTTTATAACTAACTGCAGCCTGATGCATGCTTCTTAGAAATGACTGTATGACCAGTCTGATACTGAAACTAATGACATGAATGCATGAGTTAAAGAAACTCTTAATCTCCTACTTCACATATCTACACATTGAGACATTACAAATCCCTCGTAGACATTAATTCATTATTCTGATTAAACAAACATTGGATTTTCCAGTAGTGAAAAGTGATTAAGGGCTACTCTATCTGAATAATGAAAACAAGTTATTTGAAAGAAGAATTTTACTGTAATAATTGTGAAAACTCAAAATCACAGAGAAGCCTGAATGTGGCCCGGAGAAAAAAGGTTTCCATCTTTGCTTTTATACATTTGTATCAGTAAATAGGATTAAAGTAGGGAAAGCAGTAGAAATGTGACATTACATGTAGGAGAAACAGTGAGTTGGTTATTAGAGGGTCTGTGGGGATGTAGAGGGACTATAAAGGGAGCGCTGTAGCCCATTTATCAAACCACACAGGATGCTCTTATTATCTTCCTCTGACCTCTTTTCTCATGTCTGTTTGTAATTGTTTTTGTCTGGTTGCTGTTTACTTAAAGCAACGAAGAAGAATAGACTACAAGTAAACCTCCTCTTGTTACAAAGCTGAGTTCATGTCCTCCCCAGAGAGTGACACACCCTCACTCCAGTGGCGAGCCGTCAGGGCCCTCTAGGCCCTCTGTGAGGGCCTAAGATATTCTACAAAATAATATTTAAAAACATTAAAAAAATGTTTTTGGTTTTTTTGGTTATATTTTTCATTAGTTTTACCAAAATAACTTGATTTTACGGAGCCCTGGAGGGTTCATAGAGAGAAAAATAAATAAAACGTGGCCACGTTTTACTTTCTCGTGCGCACGCTTTAGTAACTCGTGCGCACGAGTTACTAAAGCGTGCGCACGAGTTACTAAGCGTGCGCACAAGTTACTAAAGCGTGCGCACGAGTTACTAAAGCGTGCGCACGAGTTAATAAAGCGTGCGCACGAGTTAATTAAAGCGTGCGCACGAGTTAATAAAGCATGGCCTCATTTTGTGTGGGTGTGTGTGTGTGTGTGTGTGTGTGTGTGTGTGTGTGTGTGTGTGTGTGTGTGTGTGTTGTGTGTGTGTGGGGGGGGGGGGCGGCGGCATTTGTTTATGATAGTATCGTTCGTTCCGGTGCACTCCGGCAGGACTATAGCACATCGAGATAGGATTAAACACATTTCTTTCACTTGGGAATACACTTAACTATGGGGGAACCAGATTTGTTTAAAGTACTGTTCGTGGTAATTTGAAAACAAATGCCGGTGTGTCGGATACACACGAACACGCACACAGAGCGGAGCTGAGCACACACACACACATCATGCGCCCCGGTGACAGGACATCTCCTTCATAAAGCGAGGGGGAATACTCTGGTAGTTCGATGTGTGTATAGGTGTGTGTGGTTAAACGTAGCAGCCTCGATCTCTAGTCAGCGGTTCTAATGAAGGGAAACGCAGTGAAGTAAACAGTAAAAGGCACAGCTCTTTGCAGCTGGTGCTGCTCTTCTCAGATTCTGCTGAGTTACACGTTACTGCCTCCAGTGCCCTGTACGACGAAGCCAGTTCAACAGACCCTGGACCTGAATATGTTCGATTTACCCGGCTTAACTGACCCTAACAAACGCGATGTCGATAAGCGGTCCTACGAAGCTGGTTATCAACTCAGTAAATCAACCAGGGTTTCTCTGTCCGGCTGAGAGCGCGCTCAGGTGAAAGGGACGGGGTTAGCAACATTTGACCAATCACAAACATGGAGACGCGTGCTGACAGCGCAGCATCATACTTCATGAATGAATAGTGTAAATAGCCAATCCTGCTTCGTAGTACAGGCCACTGGTGCCGCTGAGATTTCATAAAGTGAAGGAGGTTTTCCTTCGATAAAACAGCTGTGGGCAGATACTGTGAGTCACGGACAGGAATCCCTCAATTTAAATAAAACGAGGCCACGCTTTACGAGTTACTAAAGCGTGCGCACGAGAAAGTAAAACGTGGCCACGTTTTATTTATTTTTCTCTCTATGAACCCTCCAGGGCTCCGTATGATTTAATTGTATTTAAAATAACATTTCCAAAGAAATAAATCCTTCGAATCTGCCTATTCAGTTTCTGTTGGAATGTGAAGGGTTAAATGAAAGAAGCTCGTCTCTGCGAGTCTGTGAAGAGAGGAGCTGTTGGACGTCCAGCTATGAATTCACAGAGGGCCCCGCTATAGTAACTGAACGAGAGAGTAATGTCAGATGACAGTACAATTGACCAATCATATCTTCCCTCTAAATGGGTGGGTGTTATTATCGCGGACTTTATGACAAGTTCCGCCCGCTGAGAAACTTTTCTTGTTTCCATAGCAACAACAACTTCCTGTCAACAGCGTTAACTCGCCTTCAAAATAAGAGCATGCCAAATTACACTTAAGACATACAACTGCAACGAAAGTAACAAACACAATGCAATATCCTTTTCAATTTCAAAGAACACAAATAGGGTTATTTACAGGTGTTGTTTTGTGTGTTAGAGGGTCGCTTTCATTGATGCGTTTTGCACCCCGGGCCGTTGTTTTGATATTCCGCTGAAGTATACGCTGTGACGTAATAACTCGAGGGAAGGGGGGTTCAGAGGGCCTAGGTATAAAATCACGGCTCGCCACTGCCTCACTCACAGAGCTACACTGAGAGGAGGAGCAACACTGAAACAGGAGAGCTTCAACTTCACAGAAACGAAAGTGAAAGTTAGTGTGAGCAGAGCTGCGGTCCAGACAGCGTCTCTGTTTCTCTGAAGAAACAACTGAATCCAGCAGCTTCTTCTCAACAACACAGCAGAACCTCTGCAAACACTGGTGAGTGCACTACAGAGACACAACGCCTCACTAAACACGAGACAAAGAACCGGAACAGCCGTTAGCCCAGGCGTGCTAACAGCTAACTAGACTAGCTCAGATTGTTTGGGAGATCTCTTTTTGTATAGTCTGTAAGGGCCAGTGGCGTTTTCTCCCGGAGGCCAAGGGAAGCCAGGCTTCCCCTGTTTTTTCGGATTGTAGTTATAATTTAAATAAATAAATAAAAACACTTTGTTTTGTTTCGATAATTCTTCTTTGCTGTGTGTTGCTGCCGGCCCGTCTCTCCCCCATTCTCATTGAGTATTTTACACAGAGTGAAACAGCGCCCCTCTAGATGTTATGGTGAAACAGTAGATTGCACTCTCTGTTGCGAGAGGAGGCCAGCCGAATCTGGCTTCCCTTGGTGAAAAAAATGGAGGGATTGACCAATCAGATGAGGCTCACGTGATGCCCCTGCCAACCTGTGATTGGTCAGGGCCATGCCAAGGGAAGCCAGAAGCGGCTGGCTTCCCTTGCCTCACAATCCAATCAAATCGCATCAATTTAGTGTTGCAGTGACGCATCCTAAAATCCGGAAGTAAGCTGCGCTTGGTTTCCCTCGACAAAAAAGCAATGGAATTTCTCCATAGGATTTAGGAAAATAGCTCGAAATAAGGTCAGTGGAAAACGAACCTGTTAGATAAATGCACGTTTTGTTCAGACGGATAATATACACATGTCTACCCTACTTTTATAATTTTCGAATCATAAATCTAATCGATAGATAGCTCACTGCACCACTCTCACCGCCGTTAGAAAGTAGCAAGCAACTGAAGCAAGTGCAATTATGGAGGGTGGAGATTTGGAGTATTTCATCAAAAATAATTGTACTAAACTTCCGCTACAGCAGCAACAACAAATACAATCTGATGACAGGCTAATGCCCAAACTGGAGCTGTGTACAGCGAGGAAAAAAGGAGCGAATCGGACGTAAAACGTTAAAGGTCTCCTGATTTAGTTTGTGAATGAATGCTTATTAGAGATTCGGCTGGAGAGTGCGTGCGGACCTGTCGGTTAGATAACAGGCGTGTGTAAGTCCTGCATCTGATACAAATGTGTGTAAAATGATACCGGGTGCTGTAATCACTCATCTGGTTACGTTATTACATTGACCACCACACCCCCGACCCAAAAGAAAGGACGTATTATTGGCTTCCCCTCATTTTTTCCCCACGCCACGCTACTGGTAAGGGCCCGACATTTACAGTGTACAACTTATTTAACTGTTATACACTTTGGTCAGCAGCCGTTAACTTATAACCCTTTCTTTCTCAACTTCACTGTAGTTACTGCTGTCTGTCTTTTTAAAGCAGTGTTGTCAAAGTATTATTCATAATCATATATATATCTTATAATCTGATTGCCTTTTACTCTGTTAAATTGTATTCTTAGTCTCATACTTGTTTAAAAGATCTATATATGTATGTTTAGGTTTTACAATTCAGAGGGCAAAAGGTGGATTTGCAAATGGTTAAGACCTGGGAGGTTTTATGGTGTGGCGGTGGGAATGTCGAACAGAATGTTTGGGTAGGATTAGTAGACTGTTTTCTTTCTTCTACATAGTGGGAATATGAGCTGTGTTCGGGGTGCAGAAGACCCTCTTTATCCTCCGAGGGTGAAGCTGCTCTGTTCCTCCATTTTAGATCGTATTTTACTTTCTTTATTAACTTTGTTAAATATAACAAAAGACAAACTTTCTACATGACTCATTTATCAGTTTCTCTGAAGGGAATTATAATTTCTAGCACAAGCAGCAAAGCTGATAATTGACAATGTTTTCAGGTATAAACTCCAAACCTCAGGAATTCCTCTCAGGGTCATTTTTTAAGAAGCCCTATTATGCTTTTAGGGTTTTTCCCTTTCCTGTAGTGTTCTATAGGTTTCTGTGCATGTCAATGGTCTGCAGAGGCTAACATCCATGTGTTCCTTCTCTTTGAATAACTAACAAGCAGCTAATAGCCACATGCTTCAGTCATTTAAAGGTCACCTATTGTGCAAAATGCACTTCTTGATGTCTTTTATACATACTTATGTGTCCCCGGTGTGTAAGGAGACTCACAAAGTGTCAGAAAAAAACCCCTCTCTCTTTTCCTCTTTATCCAAATCTCTAAAAACGGAGGAATAACGAGCTGATCCAGATTTGCTGCGGTCATGACGACATTACAAAAATGTCCCAACCTATAGTCCCCTATAAGAAACGTTGCTATCAGAAACAATGCGCGACGTGTTTTGGAAGTAATATGGTCTGTATTTACATTAGCATCGCTAACACTCAGAGCTAACCTGTACTGGAGAGAGTATGTGAAAAGTAGGAAATAAAAAGGAACTCACCTTGTGGTAAACCTGAGAGAGAAAAAGCATTTGAGCTCCATACTGTTTCAGAGATAATCCTTGACTTGGTTTTGGATCATAATATGGCGTTTAATCACGGCAGCATTTAGCTGAGTTTCTGCCGTCTCCTCACTCCTCACTACCGGGTCGCTGGTTCAAGTCCCCGAACAGACTTAAAGTATGGAGTGGAATGCTACTTGGAGAGGTCCCAGTTCACCTCCTGGGCCCTGCCGTGGTGCCCTTGAGCAAGGCACCGGACAACCCCCCCCCCACTGCCATTGCTCCCTGGAAGCTGTACAATAGCTGCCCACTGCTCCTAGTACTAGGATGGGGTTAAAGCAGAGAACAAATGTCATTGTGTGCCGTGTGCTCTGCATGCGTGACCATTACGGCCCGTCCACACGGCGGCGTGTGTTGAAGCTTTGAATGGAGTGACAGCACGCTTTGCCGAACTGCATTGTAGTTCCGTCGCTTCGCTTTGCTCGCTTCAAAAGTTCAGATAGATATGGCCCTATAACATATTGTTCAAACATAGCAAAATAGGTGACTGGTAGCAGGCAGGGATCACAGGCTATGATCAAATATATTGTGATGCATTAGGCTTTTCAAACAATGTAACTGAAAGCATTGCGACATGCAGAGTCCGTTTAATGAGTCCATAGACTTTTACTGTGACAGAACAAACAACAGTTATGTGTTTATGGGCCACAGAGTTATAGCAGGACATTCAATTCAACTGTAAAATTATCTACATGTTTAACACATTAAGGATAGTATTTAACTTTTAAAGCAAGCAGTGAACTTTAGTGTCAACTTTTTACATCCAGTGTGCATACCGTATTCTCTACTAAATGTTGTTAAAATTCCTTTTTTTTGGTACCCATTTTGTTCTTACAGACATGTCTGCTGCCAGCTGTCTGCTGACTGAAGATCAGTTTCTGTGCTCCATCTGTCTGGATGTGTTCACTGATCCAGTCAGCACACCATGTGGACACAACTTCTGTAAAGCCTGCATCTCTCAACACTGGGATAGAAATGTCCCGAGTCAGTGTCCCAACTGCAAAGAGGTGTTCAACATAAAGCCTGAGCTGCGGGTCAACACGTTCATCTCTGAGATGGCTGCTCAGTTCAGACAGTCAGCTCAACAGAAAGCCAGCAGCAGCAGCTCAGAGCAACACGTTGTCAAACCAGTAGAAGTACCCTGTGACGCGTGCACTGGAACCAGACTGAAGGCCCTGAAGTCCTGCCTGGTGTGTCTGGAGTCCTACTGTGAGACTCACCTGGAGCCTCACCTGACAAGAGCAGGCCTGAAGAAACATCAGCTGATCGACCCTGAGGAGAACCTGGGAGGCAGGATGTGTGTGAAGCACGATAAACTGCTGGAGCTGTTCTGTAAGACCGACCAGGTGTGTGTCTGCATGCTCTGCACTGTTTTAGACCACAAGACACATGATGTTGTTCCTCTGAAAGAAGGATATGAAGGAAAGAAGGCTGAGCTGGGGAAGACAGAGGCTGAAACTCAGCAGATGATCCAGAAGAGACGACTGAAGATTCAGGAGATGAATCGCTCAGTGGAGCTCAGTAAGGAAGGAGCAGACAGAGAGGTAGCAGATGGTGTTCAGGTCTTCACCGCTCTGAAGGAGTCTGTTGAGAGAAGCCAGGCCAAGCTCATCGACACCATCAAAGAGAAGCAGAGAGAGACAGAGGAACAGGCTGAAGGCTTCATCAAAGAGCTGGAACAGGAAGTCTCTGAGCTGAAGAAGAGAAGCTCTGAGGTGGAGCAGCTCTCACGCTCTGAAGACCAGCTCCACCTCCTCCAAAGCTTCACGTCCCTGAACGCTGCTCCACCCACCAAGAACTGGACAGAAGTCAGGGTCCGTCCACCTTCATATGAGGGGACTGTGGGGAGAGCATTGATTAAAGTGCAGGAGACACTCAGTCAGCTGCTCTCTGAGGTGGAGCTGAAGAGGGTCCAGCAGTATGAGGTGGAGGTGACTCTTGATCCTGATACAGCACAACCCAAACTCATCCTCTCTGATGATGGAAAACAAGTGAAAGGTGGTGATGTGAAGAAGAATCTCCCAGACAATCCAAAGAGATTTGATACGTCTTCCAATGTTTTAGCAAAGCAGAGTTTCTCTTCAGGAAGATGTTACTACGAGGTTCAGGTTGAAGGGAAGACTGACTGGGATCTAGGAGTGGCCAGAGAGTCGATCAACAGGAAGGGAAAGATCACACTGACTCCTAAGAAAGGTTACTGGACGATATGGTTGAGGAATGGAAATGAGTACAAAGCTCTTGCTGGTCCTTCAGTCCGTCTCTCTCTGAAGTCTCAGCCTGAGAAGGTGGGGGTGTTTGTGGATTATGAGGAGGGTCTGGTCTCCTTTTATGATGTTGATGCTGCAGCTCTGATCTACTCCTTCACTGGCTGCTGCTTCAGAGAGAAACTCTACCCATGCTTTAGTCCTTGTCCTAACGATGGTGGTAAAAACTCTGCCCCTCTGATCATCTCTCCTGTCAATCACACTGAGTAGAACAACCCTTTGATTTTCTACAGAAAAATTCACTATCACTAAATGTATTCAACGGGGGAAGTAAAGTGTAAACATTGTTATTTTTTCAGAATCTGATCAGAGATGTTTTACCTTGATGATACAAATAAACACACCTAAAATACTGATGAGTATGTTCTAATGTAATCTACTTCATTCTACGGATTGCACTACCTGCTGTCATGACTCACAATGATCAGAAAACTATTTACTAAAAAATAAATATTTGCCACTTCTTACAATTTCTGGGTGAAAGAAAATGTTTATATTTTATAAAGTTGTGTGTTCAAAACGTGTTTCATACTAGCTTACATAACTAATGGAAGTAATGCACTCCTTTTTCATTAGTAAAATACTGTGTATATAGCCTACATGTTACTTTTTAAATGATTTTTTTATTATTATTACATGTTACTTGTTAGATGCTTTTATCCAAAGCGACTTACATACTCAATACTGTGGACAATGTCATTTTTCTGACATGTTTTAAAAGGGTAGATTCAGGATTCATGCTTTAATTACAGTATATTGGTACAAAATGTATTGACAGTTACTTGTGTTGAGTCTATTTTTATATAACATTACAAGGTTGATTCTTATTATTACATGATAGGCTTATTGTGGTCATGAGATGTTGCTATGACTATGGAATAAATAGACACGATCACCAATCCCAGGTTCTGGTGGGTTGGATACGAAACGAAGGGAAAAGTCTTAGAAGAAAGTTTAGCTGCATTTAGAAATGTTGCAAAAGACCAGGTGCAGACCCTGTAGAGACAAAGAGTTATTGAGAACAGGAGATCGCCCTGACCTTGAACAGTGTGTGAGCTCCACGCCTACGCATAACTGGGAACTAGTATAATAGAAGATTCCCAATATCTATTGAAGAAGCTTTAGCAAAACAAATTACGTAGGATAGCGTGACTACTAGAGTAGGGAGGGAACCTTTACCGGCCGGCCGAATGCTGATTGGAGTTTGTGTTGCCAAGAGACTTTGTCTAAGTCTGTGCACCAACAAGGGAGGGCAAAGTCTAAACCACGGTCCTCCCCTTTTAGTCTCAACCAATCATAAATGTACGGGCAGCGCCCTGAATAATCAAATGTATGTGCGCACGAGGTTCAAGGCTTTTTGACGGAAATAGTGGTTACAGATTACAGCTCTGCTGCCTGTGATTTCTATGACCTGACGGAGTTATTGGCCAAGTGAAATATATATATTTTGCTCTCTTTTAATAAATAGTTGAACTTAGAAGTTCTTTGTCTTTCATGGAATAAAAGAACACGACACTTGGAGAATCAACAATATCTGATCATTAAACATTAGGCTGCAGTGGTTTAAGAAACGAGGGAAATGAAAATGTTACATCTCAGCTGTCTGTTGTGTGATGTTAATTGTATTTGTGTCCACCTCTCTGCACACTGCTTGTATAGTTTGAATAAAGTCGACAAAGAGCTAATGGATTTTTTTTTTAAAGAAAAAAAAGTGATTTGTCTTTTTTACAAATGTTTTAGCTGAAGAACAGTTTTCACTAGTTCTCAACTTAAGTAAAGTAGCTTAAAAAAATGTACTTGACTATTTCCATTTGTATATTTCTACCTCACTACATTTGTCTGACAGCTTTGGTTCTTCTCAGGCTTTATACACAATTTTAAAACCTCTTGGATCAGCTGATCATAGATATTAAGATTGCTGTATATGTTTCTTAGAAAGGCCATCAACTAGTTAGCTTAGCTTAGCATAAAGACTGGAAGAAGGGAAGACAAAGGCAGCCTGTCCAAATGTAACAAAATCCACCTATCAGCAGCTCTGAATCCAGTTTGTTTAATCCATCCCAAAACATAAGAGTAAAAACATCAATCAGACGTTTAACAGGAGATTATGGGTCGGGCTATTTCTTGGCTGGGACCTAAACAATTTGCCAAATTGTTTTTACGTTTCGGTTTCCATACAGAGATATATTAAAGGTGGGGTAGGTAAGTTTGAGAAACCGGCTCGAGATACACTTTTTGTTATATTCCCGATAGCAATGAATATATGAAATGCTTTGACAAAAAATCCATAAAAAAATGTCCACCTCTGGAAGCCATAGTACTGTAAAAAGCACGACCAGTCATCTGAGCCGGCCCAGCTAAAGTAACTGGATGGCCTACCTGCCTGTCAGCCTTCCATCTGTGTACTAACTTATCTCGTGCCCTCATTGGTCATGTGCGCGTTCGTGTGTGTTGGAGGAGGGGCTCTGTGAGGAAGTGGTAGATTTGTTCCGGCTGTGTATTTTCAAATTCTAGCGCACTCAAGCTGGTTTCTCCAAAATTACCTACCCCACCTTTAAGTACACTTAATGCTGCAGCACAGGCAGTATGAGAACAATAAAGAGCTTTTTGAACATTAAAGCATTTCACTTTTTCCAAGGATTTTTCATCTTTCAAATTTTTTCTCAGAATGTATATTTTTATTTTTTAAAAACACTTTTTTCCAAGAATTTCACCTAAAGTTTCACTTTTTTTCATGTATTTTTTCAGAATTAGACTTTTTTCAGAATGTGAAAATGAACCTTTTTTTCAATAATAAAATTTCTCTTAGAATGTATCTTTTTTCTCAAAACTTCACTTTTTTCTCAAAATTTCAATTTTTTCTCAAAATTTCTCTTTTTCTGAGAATTTGATATTTTTCTAAGATTGTAAACTTTTTAAAGAATATGTATTTTTTCAGAATCACACTTTTTTCAAGGATGTGTATCTTTTCTAAAAAGTTCACATTTTTTCCTCCAATTTTCACTTTTTCTAGGGATTCGATTTATTTCTCAGAATTTCACTTTTTTTTCAAAATGTCACCTTTTTCATTATCAAGCAGTGCTAATACTCAGAGCTAACCTGTACTGGAGACAGTATGTGTAAAGAAGCAGGAAATATAAAAAGGAACTCACCTTGTGGTAAACCTGAGAGAGAAATAGAGTTTGAGCTCCATACTGTTTCAGAAATAATCCTTGATGTGGTTTGGAACATGATATGGCGTTTAATGACGGCAGAATTTAGCTGAGTATCCAACCCAGTCTCACAAAAAAACGTGTAATAACTACGTTGATCCACAACTTGGGACGTAGTATTTCTACAAAAACGCCTCTGAAATTGTAGGATCCCTACGTTTTTTTTCACCATTCATTCCAATGGCTGGCGTCTATGTCACGTGATCTTCACATTTCTCCCTGCAGAAAAAAAAAAACATGGCCGACATTCGTTTTATTCTCGGTGTAAAATGCCTATTTTAAGGTTAGTTTGGCCATTAAAATGCGTTTTGATGTCATTTGATGCGAGAAATATGAGTTGTTATTTCAGATTATGTGTGCAGTGGATGTACATGATCTTTAGTTTGCTAGTTATTACGAAGATTACTTCAGGAAATTGTGTCCATACAACGTTTTCATTGTTACCAAGGTGGTTGCTAGAGACGCTGGTATAGATATTATTTCTGTTATGTTGTGTAACTGTTTAATGGTGTTATCTTTATTGCTACCCCCTTCCCCGTCAACGTATAGTGTTGGTCCACAGCACAAACGTATTAGTTTAACAAAATCCGCATCTAAAATTGTGGCATAGATACGTTATTTTCCCCTGTGCAATTCCAGTCTCACATCTCACATCACATCGTCATAAACAAATACCGGAAACAGACCGAAAACATTTTTTAAAAAAAAGTTAATACTTTATTCCGAGTGTGCTTGCTTTTCTCTTTGAAAGTCATCACATAACGGCATTGTAATACACGGTTCGGCTGCATTCAATATTACATATCTGCCGTAGTTCTCTATTTATAGAGCCCTGATGAGAAGACTTCTAGACAAACATGAGGAACTGCCGCCAACACTGAAAACGTGACATGGATCATTAATATATCAATTAAACAACATCTTACATTTCTTTTCACACAATACGTCTCCTTGCAGTATCAACACTAATTCGGCTGACTTTTATATTTGATCCAATTGGTATATCTACCAATTGGATCAAATATAAAAGTCAGCCGAATTAGTGTATGGCTGTATTTACACCATAACGGTGCACAGCTGATATAAAGGGACACCTAGTGGTTAAAGCATGTTAATGAATTTCATTATTTTTATTATTAGATATTAATAGGATCCCTATTGTAAGGGAAACTTCTATGTAGCAATGCAGTGGGAGTCACCGACTCAGGAAGGAGACATGGTAGAGCAGGAGCTTCGATGTCAAACACTGGAGGTTTATTTGGAGTTTCGGCCGGAGCGATTCACATCACAAGTCACAGCAGTCACGGTCTGACTGCACGGGTGGATTGGCACATCAATTCTGGAGCGCCTCTCTCTCGTTAGCCCATTTAACTGGTTTCACAGAGAGTAATCAACATATTTTGATAAGATAGTTTAAACAGTTGGGCACACTGAGTTACTTGCGTCCGTCACTTATGGCCTCGAAGATGTCATACCTTGGAGTCCACAAACAACAAAGAAGGAAGTGTCCCAGTGCACCCACAACAACAGACCATCTGTGACCTAGTGTTGCCCGGTCACAGAATGGGAACAATAACATTATGGCTGAAGCAGCCTATGTCCTTAAAGGAGATAAACAGACGTCAGGGTTGGTCATGTACGTCATATCTAGGAGTCTAGGACAATTATTTCCCTAACACCTATAAAGTATATTCATTACTCGTTATTCTCTACTAATAGTTAATTAAAGACTGTATATAATGACTATTTTGCACATCCCTTTCAAGATTTCAAGATTTCAAGATTTTCTAAGGTTTATTGACATATCATATACACAACTACGGTGTAGTTATGCAATGAATGAAAAACTTGGGTCGCAGGTTCCTCAACAGTGCATTACAAGACATCTATCAATATGTGTGCATACCTCCAGCAATGTTAACTATGTTGAAGCACTTATTTGAACTGATATTATACATATGTATTATACTCTTATAAGATGTATGTAGATAGTATAAGAAATGTGCAGAATACGACAGTTTAATGGTGGAGGTATACACACATATTGATAGATGTCTTGTAATGCACTGTTGAGGAACCTGCGACCCAAGTTTTTCATCTCCGGCCTTGTCAGGTATTGAACAATCAATAAATAAAGAACACAGAATTATTAAATATAAAACACAGAATTTGTGTGATTATACTAAATGATTTACAAATAAACACCACTGCATATTTACAACTGTTACACATGCTGATGTCACGCAAATGTTTCCAACTTGGGATCAATAAAGTATATCTTATCTTAAGATGATCGATGGCTACTGCCATATTTGCAAAATTTGCCTCTGAACCTTGACAAGTGCATGTTTCAGGCTTATCAATTAATGTAATGTAATGTTATCAATGAACAACAGGGGTCACAAACATAAGACCAGCTGTTAAATAAAGCTCTTCTGACCTTAGCTGGCATGTGGGTATATACACTGAACAAAAATATAAACGCAACACTTTTGTTTTTGGGTTAGGGGTAGGGTTAGGGTCATGTTGTGAATCGAGTGGCCTGTGTTCGTCGTCCATTACATACGCCTGCCCATACCATAACCCCACCACCACCATGGGCCACTCGATTCACAACATTACCCTAACCCTACCCCTACCCCTACCCCTCACACCAGATACTGCCTGGTTTTCGGACAATAAAGCAAAACTGCACGTTTCAGAGTGGCCTTTTGTTGTGGCCAGCCTAAGGCACACCTGTGCAATAATCATGCTGTCTAATCAGCATCTTGATATGCCACACCTGTGAGGTGGGATGGATTATCTCGGCAAAGGAGAAGTGCTCACTATCACAGATCTTTTCAGATTTGTGAACAATATTTGAGAGAAATGGTTATTTTGTGTATATAATTTTTTTTTTAGATCTTTGAGTTCATCTCATAAAAAATGGGAGCAAAAACAAAAGTGTTGTGTTTATATTTTTGTTCTATGTATATTAATGCTGCCCATTATGGGCACAAGCAATTTTCACCCATTTATTAATATGTTTTAAATTTGAGTGTTTCGTATCCCCTAAACCTCCAGGGATGTACACAGTTTAATACTGGCAACTTCTTATTATGGGAAATACGAAAACGTCTTTTAAAACTACAATTCCCAGTAGAGGCGTGCCATAGAGCATTTTGCAAAACACAACAGAGAACCGCAGTGACACGTCCTAAAACCCGGAATTAATTGAAGTTTTTCTTCTACCGTGGTTGCTTGCTCCTCGGCATTCTCAGATAGTGGTTGAGGATCTTCATTAGCAGCCGCCTGTGTTGATGGACCTGCTTCCTCCTCAGTCATTAGACACGCAGCTTATTCCTCCATTCCATCAATTATCCCTATCAGACAGTAGGAATGCTCTTCTACATTCTGTGCTTTAAAGGAAACAGGCCTTTTTCTCTTTTGTAAAGGAAAATGACAGCTGCAGATGTGGGAACAGGCATTGGGCT